ATTGTCGATGTATAAATGGTGCCCTTGATTCAAATAATATTGCATTAGTTTCATTACAATTGATCCACTCAATCCCAGTTCAGATGCAATTTGACACTCTGTATTTGCTCCTGTGTAAACGATGAAGTCGAGGATAAATTTAGTTTCACAATCGACGAGCTCAAATAGTTTGATTCCAAATTGATGATGTTTAGATGGAATATATTGTTTGAATCCAACTCTTCCTTTCCATAGCATGAGACTTTCATCAATGCAGAGATTTTGTGTTGGATTGATACAATTTGAAAAATTCTCTTTGAATTGATCTATGATTGGCTTTATCTTCTCGAGACGGTTGTTGCCAGAAATCTCATTATTATTGACAAAGTGCAAGTAGTGTAGAATGTCTAGGTATCGATTCCTTGTAAAATACTGACCAAAAATAGGTGTAGGCAATAAAGGATCCGTGCTCCAATAGTCATGAATCGTATTTTTGCTGATAATCCAAGTAAGCATTGTAACCGCAAGAAATGCATATATTTCTACTGAGGTTACATCTTGCCAGTCAGACATGTGCTGTCGTTCATCCACTGGATTCTGAAAATAGTAGCGATTTGTTTCGTTGACTATACGCTGCATCATATTGTCATCAAAAAAAAGTTGAAAATAATCAAGTGGTGTTTTTCCAAGCAATAGAGTCGTATCTTCTATGCCAGGTTTACCGTTGAACTCGGGTATCATTGGTATAAATGTTCCGCATTGTCATTTACGTTCAGCTACATCTTCTTCATCACTAGAGTCAATAGATATAGAACTAAAATTTGATACGAGCTCATCTTCTGATGGTAAGTCCGACTGAGAATCATTCGTAATTTCGTTAATTTCATTCTCAGCCAAACGTCGTTTTTTTGAAGTGGCCATGTTGAAAATGTGTGAGATTATTGTTGAGCTGGATAGTTATTATCCAACAAAGAATGTTTTCTTTATTCGTTCTTTCTCTTATCTTTTGTTATTCGAACGGCATATATATATATATACGATGGGTTAGAAACTGAAAGAATTTACAAGATTTTGTAGAAGAGACAGAACTGACTAGAATTTTACACAAAGAGGATATATTAGAAAGTGTTAGAGAGAACGAAATATAATAGATACAAAGAAAAGAACGAAAAAAATTATTATACTGCAACACACTAGAATGACTGAAAATATGGATGAAATGTACCTCAGTAAAAATATCAACAGAAAGAAAAGAAAGAAAAAATATATCAGTATGATACCATGTAACTAACGATAAGAACCTTTTCTAAACGGTTAAAAAATATGCTACTGCCACTTTTATTCAATAAATATATTTGAACGCATATATGCGTTCCTGGGCGCCCAAGGGTTAAGTAATTTTTCTGAACATGATCAATTATAAGTAGTTATTTCTGAGACAGGATATCCTTCTTCAACTAACTGAATAGAAGGAATAAGTACTTCATTTAATGAAACTTTTCCTGAACCAAATAATTCAAGTGTATCTATAAAAGCAGAAACAGCACCTGGAACAGTAACTGAATTGATATTAGTAAATGAAATGCACTTTTCATCAGTTCCCATTTATCGAACTTTTTCCAAAGTTAAATTTTTTGGACTTCGTCCACCTCCGTTTAAAAACAAAACGAGCTCCTCTAATTTCACATGAACATTGTTCAATGACATTAGGAGCAGCTGCTACAGTAACAGCTGCATCTGCAGCATGACCATCTTTGCGTAAGATTTCTAAACCAGCTTGACAAGCTAATAGTTGACATGATGATAGGGTATGCGTGTGGGTGTCAATGAGATGGGTATGTGGTGGGCTTGGGCATGGGTATACAGAAAATGAATACTGACACACTTACCCACACCCTCCTTTTAGATCGTGTTTCACAAAACATATTTGAAGCATTTATTATATTTAACTATTCATAGCATTCAATGATCTCATATTTTATAACTTATTTATATCCATATAATATATTTTAGTTTCAACGCTACAATTAATTTCTATAATGATCAATAATCCGATATACTTAACAAAAAAAAATTACAAATAAATTCTTTCACATACATTATATAAGCTAAAGAAAAAGGATAATAATAATAATTCACAATAAAATGTCCCTAAAATAGTTTTGTTTAAATAAAAATTGCACAATGATGTATATATATATAATTTGAAAAAAAAATATTATGATGAAAGTTTTGTTGTTGAAGATAATGGCATTATCTTCACAAATGCAGTTTGTGATGTCAAATTTGTTAAATTAAGAGCTGTCATATATTGACGAGCATTAAATTCTGCACGTGCAATTAATTGTTGAATTTCATTATTACGATCTTTTTCTTCTCTAAAAAGAGAAAAAAACAAAAAAAAAAGAATATTACATCACAAATAAAATTTTCAATGGGGTCTTCGTTTAACTCTATCCGAATATTGATCAAAAGAATTTAATATAACTTCTATGTAAAAATATTTTATATTTTATTGAATACATCATTCATACAATAATATTATGAAGACCTTGTTATTACTAATAAGACTATTTTTATGCTTGAAGAATACCCTTTCAAAAAAAATGCTTTCAAAATAAAAGCATGCTTCAATTAGAAAATATATATATTACATTCGAGAGAATAAGACAGTAAACAGGACAATGTAAATACGATTGTCAAATTACTCAAAATAACTAATGAGATACATTGTGACATCTAGTTGTCTTTTCTTTTTTTGGCATTTATTATGAAAAATATATTGATAAATAGGTCATAACATACAAATAGAAAGTTGAAGGTCAAAGTCGGCAGCTCTCGACACAGAATTATATATAAATTTCAGAAATAATAAGACAATCAAGTCTATCTTATTAATAAAAAAAAAAAAAAAAAGAAATAATAAGAGAATTACTTTCGACCATATTGTGCTCGTTTTCTCATTTGATTCATAATATCTCGAAGATCTGTATTTTCTTCTTCGAGTATTTTTATTTGAACTTGTAATGATTCTTTCGAAGTTTTTTCTTCTATCAAACGTTGTTCAAATTCATCTATCTAAATAAAAATTAAGTTATTATATCATATATGAAATATTCTTTCTTTTTTTTCTATATCAAATATTTACTTTTAATTTTAATTCTTCAATCTGTTTTGATGAATCATTAACAACTTCCATTCTAAGAAGAAGAAAAAAATCATTTTATTAATTATAATGTTGTTTTTCTTTTACTGTCGAGTAATAATATTTTCGGATAGTTGATTTCGTCGAATACGATCTAATTCTTCTTCCAAATGGCAATTTCTATTAGAAATTAATATATACATATATATATATTAGCGTCCTATTTTAGATCCACTTAGGAAATTCTCGAATTAGAGACTAACAGAGGAATCGTCCAAGATGATACTTCACATATGAGATGAGACCCCAGTCATTACGTAGAACCTGTTGAGTTCTTCTCCATGCGCTGCCCTTATGGCCGGTATATTGAGTATGACAAAGGTAAAAAATCTAGTGTAACGGTCATAACTCCAAAAGGGTAGTGCATGAAGAAGAATTCTTCTAGTCAGAAAAGACCCTACACAATTACTGAGGTATGATCTTGGATGGTTCCCTCATTCTATATGAGGATGTTGATTCAGCCCAAAAAATGGTGGATAAAATTGAATCGTTGTTTATACCAAAACACGTTAATTGTGATTGTGGAACGAAGAGATCAAATACATTCATACCCTACTAGAGCCTATCGTCTCCAAAATTTTCGGACCTAAATTCCATCGGATTGAGTGCGGGACCAACTCGATAGACTAATATATGTAAAATGAATTGACATACTTGTTAACAATATCATTTAATCTTTTATATTCATTTGATATTCGTTCTTCAATTGATTGTCTTTGAAGAAGAACTTCTCGATTTTTATGTTGTGTATCTTGAATAATTTTTTCTTTTTCAAAAATAAGTTCTTTTTTATGTATTAATTCATTTTTAAGATGTTCAATATCATTTTGAAATTGTTCATTACGACATTGTACTTCATATCTTTCACGTTCTGTTTGTTCTCTATAAATAATCAAAATTTCCTTAATTAATTAATTAATTAATTAATTTTTCGAAATAAAACTTACAAACGAGCTTTAATTGTATTCAATTTATCTTTATATTTTGCTGTTACATTAACAACATTTTGTGAAAGATGTTCTGATTGAGCATTAATTTCTGACTAAAAACAAAAAAATAATCATGTTTAATTCATTGTCTCAATCTAGAGTATTATAGAAGATAAAAGAATAAGTGCAAAAAAAACAAAGATGTGCTTATAGATAATTTATCGAAGAATTTAATTAGTGAATAGAGAAAAACAAAACAAGAAGAAGGAAATAAATCATAGATGAATACCAATTTTTTCCGTAGCTAGTCGAATCATAGAAATAATATTGTGCGTGATATGGAATGGAATGACATTTTTTTTTTTTTGTTTTTAGTTTTATTTACCTTTTCTTTTTCTAATTGTTCACAACGACGTGATGTTTGTTCAAGTGCAATTTGTAGATGTTCTAATTGATGTGTAGCTGCATGAATACGTTCACATACATCTTCATATTTGATTTTTAAAATTTTAAATTCATTTTCAATTTGATCAGCACGTTGACGTTCTTGTTCCAAATTAATATTTAAATTTGTTTCAAGCTAAAATTATTAAATAGTTTTAATTAATATGTACATACCTTTTCTTTTTGTTTTTTTTTAATAAGGAGATTAATCTACTGATCTTAACATGTCTCATATAGGATTAAATATTGAATTTATAAATCTGTCCGTGAGACGTAAGTTTAGTTTAATTCGCTATAGATGACATTTACCTTGTTTTTGGTTATTTACGTTTTACTTAATCGAAATGTCGATCTTTTAAAAGGATTAAAACATTTGAATACTTTCAAACATTATTAGTTTTATGATTTTGTGTCACATACAAAAAAAATTTTGAGAATTCAATGCATATAAAAATTATTTTACAAATTACAATAAAACCTCTCTAAATGAGCATTTTCTTATAATGAATAGTAGACGCCTATCATAGATGTCCATCGCGACTGAGAATCTGGCACTATCGCACTGCTTATCTATAGTATAAAACTGGGAGTTTTGCTCTATTGATTTATAAGAAAAGATTTTTTTGGTCCGAAAAAAATAATTATTCGTTTTTTGAAAAGATGCCTTTAAATACAGTTGGCCGACACCTTTTTTCAAAAATAAAGACATATTTGAAAGCAGGGTGAAAAATTGCATCGAGTGACATGCAATTTTTAAACTAATAAGTTTTTTCACACAATTTTTTTCGTCAAACTTATTTTTGCGTACAAGAAGCTAATATTTCTATGAAAAGAACTCATTTTTGACAGAAAATAAATCATGTCCATATACTCAACAGAAATTGCTATGAGCAATAACACCACCACTATAATGTTAACAACATCTGTTCTATCACTTGGGTGCAGAATAAGAAATAAATGATATTACGGTAAAACAATCATGAAACACATTGAAAAAGGGAACGGACTAATCGTACATAATAAAAAGAATCAGTCTTTCTTTTTTCTTTTATTACATACGAATTTTATAGGAGGAGATAATAGTCAACAAGCCTCGAAATCGAGTCACTTTTTTTATGGCCCACCCCGAAAGAAACTTCGTTTCCAAAGATTTTTTTTCGCAATAGACAGCTATTTCATATTTTTTGGCTTTCATAAAAAGCGATGACCAACCGGGAGGAAGGGTAGCGTAAAGAAGCAAGTTATGCCAAAAAAAGACAAAATCATCGGGGCGAGCGACTTGTTTCGAGGCCTGATAGTCAAGCAATCGTATTACTTGCACAAAGACAAACAATTTAGTGTATCGATCAGATGCGAGAACAGAATTCTTTTTTCCGTCTTATTGCAACAGATACCATCAAAAATCCAATGTCATTATTTTAATCGGGAATTTTAGTCATCAATAAGTCTTATGACTAGACACCTGCGAGTCCGGATCCAACCTTTTATTTTTTTGTTGGGCTCGGTTAGACATTTTTCTGGATCCGCTGATCTCCAGATGAGAAATCCAGCAACAAGATATAAATATTCATTCTCGGTGTATGATAAGAACCATACGACCTTTTTAGAGATAAAATTTCAGGTCGAAATGACAATTTTGCCTTTCTAAACTCGGTAAAAGAAAAAATTGTTAGTGTAATCCCTGCGAGATTAAAATGTGAAACATGATATAGCTACTGTTACTAATCACAGATAGATTGTTTTATTCAATCTATATTGTGGCATATTTCTTCACCATACTTTTTCTTCCCACATATGCAATAATGTATTCTATTGAAAAAAAAACTAATAAATTTATGGGTATATATCCATCTTGAAGAAGATTTTGTAGTTCTCTTGTAACGTATTATGAACTATAAGTTTTGAATTTTGTCTATGTTGTGTATGATTGAAACAAATTAAAAAAAAAAAGAATAACTTCAAGAAATTTTTGTATATTTATTTACTTTTTCTTTTTCATGTAATTGAGATTGAAGTGTATTTGCATGTTCAACTAATTCATTATAACGTTCACGTAGATGTAATAATTCATGTTCAAGTTCAAGATTTTTTTTCTATAATTAAATAAAAAAAAAAAAAATATATATATGTATTATAAATAGATTCAAAAAAAAACTTATTAATCATACTTCAATACTTGATTCTTCTTGTTGATTTCTATTTCTGTAAGAAATGAAAAAAATTTCATAGAAGAAAATAATAATTTTGTTTTTTTAGTCGATACTTTAGTATTTGATTTTCATTCGATAATTTAATAAGATTTTGTTGATTAATTTCATCTAATCGTTGACTACATGTTATAATATGTTTACGTAAAATATCACATTTTAATTTAAGATTTTCCATATGAAATTTAATTGTTTCATCGGAATTTTCAAACTAAAATTTCAAACATAAATAATGTTACTAATACAAAAAAAAGTAAATTTACTGTTTGTTCAAGTTGAATAGTTTTTTTTTCTGTAATTTCAAGTTCTTGACGAACAAGATCTATTTCACGTTCAAGTGAACGTTGTTCAATAATAGCAAATAATTGTATTTGTTCAATATTTGATATATTCTGTGATTTTTCCATCTAATTACAAAAATTAAATTTTGTTTTCTTTTTTTATTTCAATACTTACTAAATATTTTAAAAGATCGTTTTCTTCTTGTTGTGATACTGATTTTAATCTAAGTTCAAGTAATTTCATTTCTGTTTGTTGCATATTTTCAAAAGCTGTTTGAAGTATAGATATGAATGATGATGATGTTGTTGTTGTTGATATTGTTTTTTGTTGATCAAGTTTTTGATTAATAAATGTAACTATATTGTCAAGTTTAGAACGAAATGTTTCAATTTCATGTTGTAATTCAATATTTCGTTCCATAAATTTTTTTGATAATTCTTCACCTCCTAAAGATCATAGAAATTAAATTTATTTTCAATTATTGAGATATTAATAGATCATTTCAATTTTTTATAATTAGAATATTAAGATGATTCGACTTATGAAGGAAATCTTCCAGGTATATACATATACTCTTCGTCGAAAGTACTTTTTGACCACATAGGGCACTTCAAAAGTGAGGATGAGGGCAAAATGGAATTGACCTCTTCTTGCTGAACAAGCCTATATAAGAATTAAACGATTCGCAATAGTCTAAAGCATCCTACGAGTCTTTTGACGAAATGCTTTTCGACGAAAACGATTACAACCGAACTATGACATTGACTTAAAAGCGAGTCGTATATTATAAAAATAGTCAAGAAGTTAAGTAGACGATTATTTTTATTGAATTGTTCATTATGTAAGACATTTTGTATTGTCATTAAATGTGATCTAGTTTATTGAGAATTTTATTTCGTTGCTTTTATTCTGAGAAATTTACTGATGTAGATTAGATCTTTGTCATAGTTAACTTTTGACACAACATATTAAATACGATCTGACCTGATCAACATGATCGAATTTTAATTTCCTATATATTGTTTTTTCCTCTTTTAGTTTAAGTAATTATCAATTTCTAAAGCATGTCAAGGTCAAATACATTGATATTTTACATTACAAGGTCAAAATTCTCACAAATAAAAACATAACACAATGCAAACATTTTATATAATCAGTCACATTTTGTAATTTTTCAAGTTAATAAAGAGAAAGAAACGAAAAAAAACAATAATAGTGTAAGAAAGAAAAAATAGTCACAAAAAACATATTGCTCACTTTCTCAGTGTATTGTAAATATTTATTATTGATATTCTTTTGAATAATATAAAATCGAACAGTAAGAATCTCGACATATAATTGAATAGAAAAACAAAATATTTTGTTTAATCATCACGGTTGAATGGATATGATGCTATAACTATGTACATCAAAGGTATTTACATTTTGAACTTTATTTAGGAATTCGTTTCGATTCGACGAATTCTAATGAGGATCTCCTTGACTCTGCATCAGACCGACCTTATGTCTATTGCTTTAGTTGGATGCCTAAATCGATGATTACTTCTGAAGCTTATTGAAACAACCGTGGCTATGATAGCCGAAAGATTCGTTTATTTTGTATGATGAGATATATAAAAGTATATTCATACCTTGGTTATAGTTTAGATTTAGATAAGACTTGGAATTTTTCATTATAATATGCTTACTGTCTTCTCAATTACATATGAAATTTATTTGTAGAATGACGAAGGTTTTATAGAAAAGAAAACATAAAATATATTCGTTATTTTTCTACAAATAAGAATATTGGCATTTGTTATTCTTTAATTATTTTACTTTTATAATAAATTTGTTTCGAAATAAGATGTATATATATATATATATATATTATTTACCTGACGAATAATTTTTTTCATTATTAATAGAATTTTTTATTTGATTTGTTTGTGTACATGTTTGATCAATAATATGAATAAGTCGATTTATTTGTTCATTTTTTTCTTCAACAATTCTATCTAATTGTCGTCGAAATTCATTATCAAGAAAATGATTTTGATTTTCAAGCATAATAGTTTTTTCACGAAGATAATGTACATCACGATTAGCATAATTTATTATTTCACGTATTTGCTATAAAAAGAAAAACAAAAAAAAAAGACGACAAAAGAGATTAATTATGATATATCAAAACGTTTTAATTTTAAGATCATTATTCAAATGTAATCGATCTACTATGTATACTGCATGGGAACGATACCTTAGAAATGTTGAAAGAATGCAATAATAAAATGTAGAATACATATGTAAGAAATTAAATCTCATTCCCACACACATACTTCAGAAAGATACTAAAAAAAAATATTAATTATCATTTTGAATATATAAAAATACACCTATTTTAAGAAAATATATTCCTATTTCAATTATACATTTTATAATGAACTGAAATATTTGCCATTTTCTATAGAACGAAAAAAAAAACAATCTGAATTTAACATCTTTTAGAAGTTGTATTGAATAAAAAGTGGTCTACATTGCTTAGTATTCACAAAGTCGAATGTGTATTAACTGGAATTATTTTCAAATCATAATCATAAATATTTAATTGTTCATTTTTCTGTTAATAAATAATTATAAAAATAGAAACAAACCTTTAATCCTGCTGAAAAATCTTTATCATCTAGATTAAGATCTTGTAATAAATATCTAAAACGTTGTAAAATTGAAATCATTGTTTGTCCTTTTAACCATAATTTCATAATAATTTCACGTTCTTGTCCTTCATGTAAATGATAATCACGTTTAATTGTATTCATAACATCTTGATAAGAAAGAAGATTCTACAAATAATATTAAAATCTATTTAGAAAAACCAAAAAAAAAAAACTCAATTATTTTCAAAATAATTTATACTCTTAAATTAATAGATGCTGTATGAGCAACAATTTGACTTGTTTCTGATGAACGATTTGATCGTGAATCTTCATTTAATTGAGGTTCTATTGGATTTTGTTGAGTAGAATTTTCGATCATATTTTTATTTTGAATATTTATTTTTAATTCTTTATAATGTTCATTAATATTCTATATAAAAATAATAAATTGTTTTTTTTTTCATATAAATGAAATTTTTACTCTTTCATACTTCTTGTGATGATGAATGTTCGTTGACAAAAAGTTTTTCTGTGGTTTGATTAATTTCAGTTATTTTATCTGTTTGTTTTATTAATTCAATATCTTGATCATGATTATTAAAAACCTCAAAGAAAATAAATATTACCACCAACCTTGACAATCACGAACATCTTACTTCATGCATTCTTTTACTTTTTTTCTTCCCTAGACAAATCACAACAATAAAAGAAATGATGTGTGTATATACAAACACCGACTATATGCAAATAAAAAATCGAAACACACAGGCACACACGAAAAAAAAAAATGAAAGAAATAAAAATTCATGTACCTTTTATTGATTTTGTTCGTTTGAATATGTTGAAACTAAAATGAAGCAAATTACTATGTAATTAACGTCCGAAGGAAACACTTTAGATAAACTCTCGATTGGCTTCTTCATATCAAAACATACAATATGCATTAACCGAGAATTTTGAATCGATATAAACGGTCTCTTTTTATATAACCTCATATTTTCTTTTAGAATGATACTAAAAGAAAACAACAAGATGCATTATCCATTTAGACATTTTTTCTATGAAGAAGAAGAAAAAAAAATGACAATATATTATTCAAATGAAGGGTTGCTCGTCGATATTATACAGACACCGAAGTAGATGATAAGAAAAAACAACAATATGCATAAGAATAGAAATAGTATGCAGACACTTAGAAATGTAATCATTTAAAAGATTATGTAATCTTTTTTAAATAAGAAATTGAATTCTTAAGTGAAATTTTTTTTTCTTGATGCTTTCTTAAGTAAAATTTATTAAAATATGCAAAAATAGAGAGAGAGAGAGACGATCAACGTTCGAAAAGAGTTAAAAGGTGATACTATTCATTCATAAGATATTTTCAATATTATTTGATCATATCTTATATGAATTAATAAATATATTAATTTATCTTGATCAATTAAATGATATTTATAAAAAGACATATTTAATCGATTTAAACATTAATTCATAGATAAAATTCTATGTGTTGAAAGATATGTCATAGAAAGTTTATAATTTATCACAATACAAATAACTCTTTATCATCACCTTTATATGTTAGTTGTCTTATCAAAATGATGAAGGATAAAATTGTCAATTTTTATTCATCATAATCATAATTATTCTTTGAAGACAATATATGAAAAATGTCGAATTTTGTTTTTTTTATACATGGAATTAAATTATTTGATTACATCTTTTTTTTTTTGTGCGCCTTGGTAATGACAATGAAATCTTCTCAATATTTTTTAAATCACCTTGATATATGAACGATGTATAGTTTTTCAGATGTAATCAAAGACGATATTCATCTTCAATAGATTTTAATCATATGTAATTGATCATGTCGTTTGCATTTGAAGTATTAAAAATGTTCGCTATTTGCTGAATTCCGATTGGAGACTTTTCGATGACTAAATGTTTTAATATTCATATGTTGTTCACATCAAGGATCATTGTCAATATTTAATTATTCATCTTTAAAAATGTGATTTCATTCAAAAACTGCAGCATGTAATAAATAGAGCCCATCGGGCCCAAAATTTTCGGATCCAACGAATTTTAGTGATTTACTGATCACGAATTCGATTTTGTTCATGTTCACTAAAGTATTAGAACATCATTAGTTCGACAAAACACTTTTCCTACAATCAAAATCTAAGTCTTGAAATATCAATCAGTTTTTATAGTTTACTCATCAGAGATATGCACTACACGCGCAAAGACTGCCACACTACGACAGGAAATTTGAAGCATGGCGACTAGGTGATCACACCTTTATCATGTGAGTTGTTAATCTCAAGTGCTAGAAAATTTTTAACAATGAATGTACATTAAATGCTGAAAAGTTTTAAGAGAAGAGATTTAATTATTAATAAGTTCATTCTTTCTAAGATATTCTTTAGTTTATTACCTGTAAGACTTTGATCTGAGAATGTGATATGTGTAGATTTGTAGAGGAAGTTTTTCTCTATAAATCTACACATATCCGTTTTTGAGATCAAGAAATACTACGAAACTTTTATAAATAAATTCGTAATTTTATTTGACTTTATTTATTAGTTTTTATTAATCCCCAATAAGATTTTGATATCAAAAGAAAGAATTTAAAAAAACAATGCATTTAGTAGTTAGGCAAAAAAAACTAAAACAGATCACAATTAACTATTATCTTGTAGAAAGAAAAAAATAATAAGTTTTTTTTTTTTATGATTTTTCTGATGAACGATGACCATGAACAGTTGTTCTTGCACGATCATCATAAGAACTTTTCATTTGTTGATTCATCATTTTTTGACCTTGATATTTTGAAATAACTTGTAATAATTGTGGACAATTTTGTTTTGATGCTAGATCAGTAACACTTTCCTTTTTATCATTTACCCATGTTATATCACCTCCATGTCTTTAAATGAAAAAAAGAAAAATTTCAATTTATTTATTTTTTTCATCAAATAACAAACTTACTTAAGAAGAATTCCTAATGGTTCAATACCATCAACTCCTAATAAACAACATTCATGTAATGCTGTATTACCTCGTCTACAAAAAAAAAAAAAACGAAAGAAAATCGATATTTTTCTCTAATAGAATAATTTTATTTCGATTGTTATAAAGATGAAAGAGTTGCAAAAACTTCACTATAGAACTTACGGTCCTTTTTTATCTAATTTAGCTTTTCCATCTTTGATAAGTGTTTCTAAACATTCATAATGTCCATTACGTACAGCCAATTGTAGAGCAGTATAATTATCTTTATTTATAACATTTGGATTAGCCTTTTCTTTTATTAATCGTTGAACTTCTTCGAATACATTTATTCGATGCGATGATTTTTTATTATAATCACTACTTTTTTTCTCAAGTAATCGAATTAAGGCATGATTTGGCTATTATAAAATATAATCAATAAACAAAAAAAAACAAATAAATAAAATATTTTATTCTTACACTATCAGTATGAGTAATTGTATTAGCTGATTGTGGTCGTTTTTTAGTACGATGCTTTATTTTTGGTCGTTGTAGTTTTTCTCTAGGATATTCATCTATACACAAAAGTAAAAAAATGAAAATTTCGCTTGTGCTTCTTTTGTTAATAAGAATGCTTTCCAAAAAAAAAAACAAAAGCCTACCATCAGAATTAATTATACTTGAAAATGGTGAACTTCGTCCACTAGTCATTCGATAATATTCATTTGTTTCATCAATAAAGAATGGTGATTGAGAAAGATTTTGTGGTTTTTGAAATACTGCTTGAACTGTTACTTGATATTCATTTTCATGTACAGTTGCATAAATCATTTTACCCATACGAGGTTCACCTAAAAGATAATTCATGAGTTTCTAATATTAATATTTGAGATATATATAGAAAATCTATACTTCGAAAAAAACAAGAAATGTCAACGGTTATTTTCTTTTTGAATACCTTTGAATCGAAACGAAGAAGAGATATGTGGTTTTCACCATCCAGATCATCGAAATCTGATTGATCAACTATTGACCAACTAGGTGAGCTCTTAGCGAAGATTTTTGAAAACGAGATTCCGAAGCTATTATTCATTATATTTTTATGTCCAATCGATAGCAACAAATTTTCTCTTTAGATCTACATAAACAACAACTTCGTAGCCGGTTTTCATTTAAGAGTTAAAATGCTTTTCCCAAGACTTCCGTTTTCAGCGAATTGACCTTGGAATGGTCTAAAAGAGCTTCATACAGGGATAATTCATCGGTTGTAATCCTATTCGTCGAAAAGCATTTCATCAAAAGACTCGTAGGACACTTTAGACTGTTGCGAGCCGTTTAATTCTTATATAGGCTTGTTCAGCATGAAGAGATCAACTCATTTTGCCCTCACCCTCACCTTCGTAGCGCCCTCTGTGGTCAAAAAGTACTTTCGACGAAGTATATTTCAGCGAAGAGCATATATACGTAAATTGATGTATTTTTGAAACGTCTCCCTAAAATAGCTGTCGCCAACGCGACAGTATTATAAAAATCTCTTCCGCGCCGCGACGCTATGAATATCTCTGCTTCCAAGATCGATTAGCTGAAGTTGAAGATTCTCAGAAAAATCCTTGAATAGAAAAAGCTACGAAATTGTAATTTACGTAGATCAAAAGAGAAGACATCTTTGTATCGATTGACTATATTGTACGTCAAAATTTCGTTTTCAAACTCGTCGCTAAAAACTCACCTGATTAGTTAATTGCTGACTAGGCATCAGAGATTTGATGACGGGGCTGTCGCCAAGATGGTCATCTCTGCTAGAAATGCAACGAACCTGAACTTCAGTTCAGATTGAACCGTTTGGGAATTATCCAACAAGTTCAGCGCTAGTCAAAAATTTAGATAGTTGTTTAAGCTGTTCATGAAGCCGATAGACGATTATGAAAGTACCTTTAGATATTTCCGAACATGATTAACACTTGTTTTTTTTGTTAGAAGATCTGCTAAATTTTGACTAACTTCGAGAGTTCCGAATGTTCTCTTTTGAATGATGAAAACTTCAATTCCTATCAAAAATTATTTGAAATTTTACCAATCAATGATTGAAAATCAGGTCGGTTAACTGCATAAGTTTTTAAATGAGCACAAATATGATCTAATTGTTGTCGCCAATATCCTTTTCCTGGACTTGTAGATGTTAATACTGGACGATGTTCTTTAGTTTCTTGTTCAGCTAATAATTGTTTATTTTGTGTTATTATAAGTTCAATATCTTTTGCACTTGGATAATAAATTCCATATGTTTGTGTAGCAGCTTCATTTTTTGTTATTGAATATGGTTGACGATTATGAGTCAATGTTGTATTTGCATTAAGCCATACTGGACTAGCCGAATTACGTGTTAGAGTCTATATATATAAAAACAAAACAAACATCAATATTTTTATCTTTTTTTTTTTTATTTATTTAATTTAACTTACACTAGCAATCATCGAAGAAGATGGTATATTTAAATCATTTCTAAGACGTGTATCCATAACACGTAATGGTGGTTCAATAACACATCCACATGTTGAACAAAATTTTGCAGATGGATCATTATTAGTATGACATTTCGTACATTGTATTGGTATAGATGCATGTTCTGGACATGCACCACACCAATCACAAAAACGTGCATCAGGATTATTTAAACGAAAACATTTTGAACATGTCATCATTATTGTATCAGTTTGTTTTGGTAATGTTGGAACTGAAACTGTAGTTCGTTTTTCCTATTGAAATATAAATAATGAATAAATAAATAAATAAGATTTTTTTTGTTTTTTACTGGTGGTGTCAATGTTGGCATTAATACACTTTCACAAATATAACATGTTCGTAAATGTTTTGGATTTGCTGATTTACATTGAGGACATAAAATTCTTGTCTAAAGAAAAATTTTAAGTTTTGATTAATTTGAAAAATATTTTTGTTTTCTTAAAACCTGATTTTGAGTAGTTGAACGATTTTGCGGTTCTTTTGATGCTGGTGTTTCACAAACAACACATACATTAGAATTAAATGGAATTGTAGATTTACAATTTGTACATATGTTAGTCTAATTAAAGAAAAAAGAAGAGAAATACAAACTTAGAATATCGGATAAGATGATGACCGTTCATTTGACAAAACCATTTTGTAGAGCAACTCGTGACGCATTGAATGGTATATGGGGAAATTACATTTTTATATAGCAATTGTGGATGATATGACCAAATATTAGGACTCAGTTTGTCTCCAAATCAACCTATATCAAATTTTATTTTCAATTGTGTATAGTAAATAATAGTCACAATAGCTCTCTTCATACCCAAAATTCCTAGCATCTGTATTTCTTAACTTTTATGATGTTTTATACTGTTCGATACTGTTACTGCAGTCAAAGACGACTAACCATGCAACTTTCTTCAAGCTCTGTAAGTATTTATTCTCTGAATTGATAAGCATCATGGTCAAATCGGTTAATCAATGCCTAAAAAAGCCAAGTTTTCGATTCCTAACAGTAGAAAAGTATATGATTACAAAGATTAGTTTTTATTTTATTTTATTCTTTACGACTTAAGATTGTGAGTAGCCGGATTTTATTAGAATATGGAGCTCTATTAGATTGTATATATGTTTGTTCTCTCATAAGAATTAAAAATTTTTGTATGTCTCCGCCCAAGGATCTGAAGGCGAAAACTTTTTTTAACCATTTTTGAAAGATCCATATGTGTCAAATGATAGGGCATAATAAACTTATTATTAATAAATAGAAATTTTTTCACTAAAAAAGTATTGATCGGAAAACTCATATACTTTTCTGTCCATAGGAATCGAAGAATTGACCTTTTTTAGAGATTGATTGACCGATTGGGCTATATTCTCAGTGGCAGTATCGAACAATTTAAAATGAAAACTACAGAAGCTAAGAAAAATGCTGAGGTTTTGGATACAAAGAAAACTATTGTAAGTATTATTAAATATACACAATTGAAGATCAGACAAAACTCTATTGAAAACAAAATTTGATATAGTTTAACTTGAAGACATACTAAGTCCTAATATGTTTCCATATCATCTACCATTGCTATAATAATCCTTAATTGGTATATAGCTTCTCTGAACATTAAAACTTGATCAAAAAAAATAATTTCCTATATACCGTTCAATGCAGTACGAGTGGCTCTACAAAATGATATAAGTGCCTTTTCAAATGAAAGATAGCCATCTTATCTGACAGAGTCCTTTTTAATTACTGGATAATTATTTGGTGGATTGTGAGTTAGTTTTTGCCAAGGTAGACCACATTCTGTACAAAATCGTGTATATGAATCATTTGTTTTTGGTGCAAAACAATGAGCACATCTAGAGAAAATAAATAATAAAATTAGAATATTTTCTTTTTTCTTTAGATAAACCTTATAACATTTGTTTCTGGTTGAGAATTTGAAAGTGTATAATTAGATGGATTTTCTTGTACTAATGAATCAATTGTTGAACGACGCATTGATTCTATATAGAAATTTGATTAATAATAAATAAAATTTCTTTTCTTTTTTTTTGTTTTTTTTGATACCAGATAATCTTTGCTGCATTTGTTCATTTTCATTTTGAATTTTTCTCATTAATTCCTATTGAATAAAATTATAGAATTAATGAATAAATACTTGATTGTATTATTACACTAACGAAGAAAGTGTTTTAACTGATTAATCGTTTTTGATTTGAAACTATTTGCTGCATGTAGACTCAAATGAGCTATGAATACGTCGAAAAGAGTTCGGGCACTTAACTGATTGTTGTCGAGATATTGTATTTTTACGGTAGTTTCTCTTAGGAACACTTGTTTTCTAATTTCGACTTGAAACTTTCACAAAAGACTGGGGTCACTGAGAATAGTCTATGGTGAAACTTTTAAATCTTTCCGTTGTTACTATCTCAAGATCCAGGTATGATAAAATAATCTATTGTCGCTAAGATGTGTGTCGGTACAAAGCTTCAAGTTGAAATTGGAAAACGAATTTTTCTAATGTTTCTGAAGGGAATCATGGTATAGATTTTTAAAAAAATCGTAAAAATGCAGTAACTCAGCAACAATAAACTATGGGTTCGAATTCAAAAGTGACTAACCAGTTGCAGGGCTTCCATCGTAAGCTTCAAGTTTTTTATATTGATCAACTTCTACAATAAATCGTTGCACAATGCCTCGTTGATAACTTGAAAAAATCTAGATACTGAAATTATTATAGGTTTTATAGTTTACAGGATAGATATTATATAGATCTAAGATGTTCCGTGTTGTACATTTGTTCACACTGCTACCGGTTGAAGAACAACAATCAGTATAAAAGTATGAACTTCATTTTTTATATTTCAGCATTTTAATATATTTTGTAAATTGGAAGAAAATTGATATATAAAAAACTAAATCAATACCATAATATTAGCAGGAGTGTCCTTAGTGGAGATGTCCAAGGAGTAACCACCCAGTCTCGAAAAATCTTCGCTTTCCTCTAGCAGACATTCAGGATTTTATTGCTCGCCGGGTAAACTTTAGCGAAAATCTTTCAATTGGCTTCCTGTATCATTGACTATCTCCAAAGCTGATGACCTTGGAATACTTCTGACTATCGATTTTTTTAATGCAATCGAAGATAAATATCCTTGCAAATTATACTGAAAATTAACACATATTCAAATTGAAAAATTTGGCATTTAATTAAATTTTAACACCTTTACTAATCATTCACAGTGGCACTCAAACTTGCTCATATATCCAATAGATGACTTTGCTTTCCTAATATCTTGAGAAATATTGCAATACATTGAGGTGCGTTTTTCGCACAATCGAGTTCATCTGTCATAGATTATTTGCATGAAATATAACTTCTTTGTAGCGTAAACTTCCTATGCTATATAAACAAATACTAATAACGATATCTTTTCACTTCATTGAAATTGATTGTACACTTCATATAAAAATAAACAACAATTTTACAATAAAAAATTTCCTGCCTTTCGGTTTCAAATAGAAAAATTATTCATATACGTATCGTTACTGTAAAATTTCAATTCAATAGTAATAAATAAAATAAAAGATTCCTCTCGGACATATTTATTCTCTCTCATTCGAAATCATGTACCTTTCGTTCTTGTTGTAATTCAGATAAATATCGATTTTCATATTCATCTGATGGTGCATGATCCGCTGGAACAATTTTAACATCAAATACTTTTGTCACTATAACACTTTCTCGTATTCCATTACTAAAAATAGATTTTTGAAAAAAGAAATGAAAATTTTAAAATTTATTTCTTCTTCAATATCTTACCGTGATACAGCTATAGCTTTAACTGTTACTTTGCCTGTATTAGCTATTTCTCTTGGAATATAAAATGGTTTTTTATATTGTATAGTCGAACGTCGTGTTGTTAATGTTATAAATGCATCTGGTTTAGAACCATCTAATGTATAATAAATATCTACATCATTTGTATCACTACGTATTTCAATCAATGTATTTGTATCAATTGAAAATTTTTGTGTATATCCAACACGTAATGGAATTATAGACGGAGCAGATATTGAACCAGCAGTCATTTTGTTTGACAATTCAAAACAAATTACATTGACATGATGAAACCATATGAAAAGTTTTTATATCAACGGTTGTCAAGTAATACAAAACTAAAGATATGATTGGTTAGTTATTTTATCCAATCGAGAATAAAAAAAAAAAAGAAATAGACAATAAATCGAATAAAAAAAATAAATCTCATTTATTATAATTGTATGTAGATAGATATATATATCAAAAAACAAAATAAAACGAAAAAAATTATTATGGTATTTATACGTGATTTAAAACGTGAATTTTTTGAATTTATTTCTAAACAACAACGTCGTTTACTTGTCTTTGTTCATCTTGATGTTGATAGTTTATGTGCTTGGAAAATATTTCAACATTTATTACAATGTGAACATATAACATATACATGTTTACCAGTTTTATATAAATATGATTTAGAAAATGGACATATACAACATATTAATAGTGGAATTAAATCAATTGTATTTATTAATTGTGGTTCAACACTTGATTTATATGATTTTTTATCACTTGATTCAATTGAACAAAATAATAATAATAATAATAATGATGAAAATAATTTAACATTATTTGTCTTAGATAGTTTACGTTCAATTGAACATCGTAATGTTTATGATGCTAAACAAATTCGTATACTTATTTTACCAAATAAAATTGATATAGAAAAAAAACGTGTACCACAATATGAAGAATTATTTCATGAAATATACGATGATGATGCGAATGATAATGATGATAGTCAAAGTGATAATGATGATGATGATGATGAAAATAGTACAAATATAAGAATTGAAAGTACAGAAGCACGAGAAAAAAGACTTAAACGACAATGGTTAAAAAGACGTGATAAAGCTTTAGCTAATTATTATAAATATCGAACACATTCATATTCATCAGCATTAATTATGTTTGAGTTAGCTTATTTATTATCAAAAGATACAAATGAACAATTATGGTATGAATAAATAAGATATATATATATATATTCTAAGTGGTAAATCAATTGTGAGACGAGAGCCCATTGGATTTAAAATTTTTGGACCCGATAGAATCGTACTTCGAAATTTTCTAATAGAAATTAGACAATCGTCCCGAAAATACAGGACACTTTTTTTGGCGCATTCTACACATTTCTCAGAAGATTACAGGCCATCGGGTTCGGGACTAATTCAATAGGTTCTACTCAGAACTTCTCAGTTGTTTGTCAATGTTCATTCTTTTCATTAAAAGACTCCTTGTGAAATTCCCCATAAACATATCCGAGATGGAAAAACCCACCCCGCGCCTCGTATGTGCTCTACTAATAAGTTTCGCAAAGACCTTCGGACATCAGGATGTTGTAATCACACACTCCCCAAAGCTCTGATCAATGTTGCATAGACACGAGATGAGTTTTTCCATCTCTGAAATGCATATACTTCAACTCCTCGGAAAATACAACACTCCTTTCAGATTGTATGTTACAAAAGAATAATAATGAATTTTTTTTTCTAGGTACGCTATTATTGGTGTTACTGAACAATTACTTCATGGACGAATTGATCGTGATTATTCTTCAAAGTCATGTTCTTCGTCTTAATCATAATCAAAATTCTTTATTAAATTCTAATGATAATAATAATAATAATAATACATCAATAATAAATTCAAAATTATCAATGGATTGTATAAATATTAAATTTGATGAAGATATTAATTTTCATCTTTTACGTCATTGGTCATTTTATGAATCTATATGTCATACACATGATATGATTATATCATTTAAATTATGGTCAACACGTGGTTTATCACAATTAAAAGAATTTCTTGCTGATTTAGGTATACCAAAACGTGAATATGAACAAAATTATCGTGATATGAATGTAAAATATAAATCAAATATAAAAAAACAAATATTAGATAAACGTTTACAAGATAAATATCATTATACAACAAATACAATTATATTACCAACATTTTTATTAACAAGTGGTTTTTCATTAAAATTATCACCACAAGATATTGTTTATTCAATAATGTCAACATTACAAACATCAACTTCAACATCATCATCATCATCATCATCAATTATGATTGATTTAACAGAACGTTTTTCATTAGCATTATCATGTTTAAATTATAATCAATTAAATTCATATTTAAATGGTATTGAATTAGAAAAAATTTATCGAAATAAAATACATTATTTAATTGAAACATTATTACAATCAGATAAAAATTTAACATTTGATAATACAATACCATTTATATTACTTAAATTTGATCAAAATATGTTTAATTCATCAACAACAACAACAACAACAACAACAAATGAAAATATTAAATCATGTGGATTTTTTACACATCCATATCAAGCATATTTATTTGCACGTAATGCATTACATATATTAATATCATATACAACATCATCAACAAATATAATTAAAAAAAAAAAATCTAAATATTTACAACGTTTACCATTAATATTAATAGCACCATATTCATCAATGAATACAGATGAAGAATTAATTGAAATTGTTGTTGGTGTACCATCATTAAATAATATTATGATGAATTCATTTTCAACATTATTTGAAACAGCTGATCGTCGTTGTGGTAATGTTGCAAAATTTGTATTTTTTGATCATTCTGTATTATTATTACAAGAACAACATCAACAAAAATTTATCGATGCACTTATGTTTGTACTTGCAAAATAAAAATAACTACTTTTTTTTTTTTTCGTTTGTCTGTATATGTTATGACATTTATTTTATATAAATGATGAGAGATATTTTTTTTTTCTGTGTACGTCATTCTATGATGTTTGTTGAATTATCTAGATGAGTGACGATGCACTTTTTGATGTTTTTGATCAAGATGAACCGAGTGCTATTGTTGAATTACCAAAAAATGTAACTGCTATTGAACAAGTAACAACAACTACGACGACGACAACAACAACAACTACAATCATGTAAGAAAATTTTGCAAAGATAAAAATAGACTATCGTTGAATATGATTTGTTTGTAGTGTTAAGTAGAGTGAGGTCCCAAAATTATTTTACAAGGTGTAATTTGAATATTTTTTCCGTAGTCTTAAGTGCTAGAAAGAATCCAAATAGTGAATATTGTTGCCAATAAGAATTCGAGAAAATGATAACTATCATGAATTTTCTCAAAATAGGATTTCTGAAAAACCAAAAATCTTATTTTTTCAACATTGAGAAGTTGCAATAGAATACTTGTTTTAACAGTCTAGAATTGTAGAACAACCAATTATTTACAAAATGAGACGTCTCCGAGCTTTTTAGGGCCTTCTCTTCAAAAGTTATGAGCGTCACAAAAATTGAAAAAATGTGTTCTTTAATCAATTTTTTCATAAATTTCACTTTTTTTCGATTGTTGTGGCGCTTATTAACTTTAGAAGAGAATGTCATAGGAAGCTCGGAGATGTCTCATTTTGTAGAGAATTCGTTGTTCTATAATTCTAGATTGTTAAAACAAGTTTTCTGTTGCAGCTTCTGAATGTTGAAAAACTATAGTTTTGGCTTTACAGAAACCCTATTTTGGAAAAATTCATGCCACTTATTATTTTTTCGAATTCTTGTTGGTAACAATATTCTCTATTCAAATTACACCTTGCTGAATAATTTTAGGGCCCACTGGATGATCATTTTGTAGCCATCCGCTATCGTAAGAATAAAGCATCTGTTTTGGCTGAAATTTTTAATACATTTGAATAATCATAAGGCTTCTTTATGGGCAAAATATTATCGTTGGATTTTTCATGAATGTCTCGCCTGAAATTGAACATCTAGTGGAATGGCCATAAGTCGGCTTCAATAGCCCATAGGCACGAATCCTTTTAGGCTTTTGCCATTGACACTGACGTCTACTTGTAGGCAAACTATGAGCTCTAAGTTAAGGGAACACTTCGGGTACTACTCTCGTTAGTTATAACTCTCAAAGAAACTAAAAAATTAGCCTGAAAATCGTGATGCCACCGGGAAAATTCATATTTGACAAAACTAAACTATTTGACAGATAAATCAAGCGTATTTTCTGATTCCTCAATTCGAGCTCTATATACTTGTAAAAAAATATTTTTTCCTACAATATCATTCGAACGCCAGAATGTTCTTCTATCTAGTATCTCTAATCCCTGTTAGCGCAAACATTCATGGGTTACATTATGGGTTTACAAAAAACCAAAATTTTTCAGTTTTTCTGGCTTTGAAAAAAAGATTTAATCGACAAAAATAGTATATTCGTAATCAGTGTATTGAGCTATGTCGAATGATATCTAACAAAAAAGAATTTTGAAAAAAAACCAAGGACAAGAATCTTGCTTAGCCTTTTGTTTTCGAAAAACTTTTTTTCTTAAGAAAGCTTTTCTGCGTCGTATTCAATCATTTCTAAGCAAAGAAAATCACATGTTCACCTGCTATGCATAAAGTACATACGATGTTACCTCAATATTGGCTGTCTCTGATCAGCTTCAGCTCTGATGATTACATAAGCAAATATCATTTAATTTCAAGTTTGTCTTTATTACACTATGGTATTCTCCAAGCCATTTAAGAGAGATCTTTTGGTAAGCCTGAATAACACTATATTGAGTCCGTATTGCAGTAGAAGAAGATTGCCAAACACAATCACTTAAACTTAATTAACTCAAAGGAAAAAAAATCCATTCATAATTCAAAGAAAAAACAGTAAAGACTTTATTCTTGAAGTCTACTGTTTCCACCTAACTGCTGATATATCGTTAGTACTTAAAGGTGTAATAGATTTCTCAAAAAAAAAAAAAAAGTATTAATTAATAAATATATATCATTATTTTTATTTATAGAAAAGATGATGAAGATGATGGTGAAAAAATTTCTAATGATAAACGTGTATGGGAAGAAGATGATGATCAAACAGATGTGAATATAAAACGTACTCGAACTGAATTATTAACTGAAAATAGTTCTGGAGGGTAATTTAAGTTTTTATATTTTTAATTTAAATATAAATTTTTTTTTTGTTGAAGATTTTTCGAAAATGTTCCACGTATGCAAATTCATACTGTTGAAACAATTGAATCATGTTTACATGAAGTTTGTTCTTGATTATCAAAAATAAAATAAAAACAAAAACGAGAAAATTATATTCAATTTTTAGGTTGTTTTACCACCAAATTTTGAATATGTTCCATTAAAAGCTCCTGTTGGTCCACCGGCTAAAGAATATAAATTTAATCTTGATCCATTTCAACGTGAAGCTATAACATGTTTACAAAATAATCAATCAGTACTTGTTTCAGCTCATACATCAGCTGGAAAAACTGTTGTAGCTGAGTATGTCGAATATTAGAAACAAAAATTTTTTTTATTTTTTGAATCAATTTTCTTTTTAAATATTAGATATGCTGTTGCTATGGCATTACGTGATAAACAACGTGTTATTTATACAACACCAATAAAAGCATTAAGTAATCAAAAATATCGTGAATTACATGAAGAATTTAAAGATGTTGGTCTTATGACTGGTGATGTTACACTTAATCCATCAGCATCATGTCTTATTATGACAACAGAAGTATTATTTGAAAAACAAAAAACAAAGTATACCAATTAAATTTCATTTGTGTGTTTTTGTTAAGATTCTTCGATCAATGCTTTATCGTGGTTCAGAAATAACTCGTGAAGTTGCATGGGTTATATTCGATGAAATACATTATCTTCGTGATAAAGGTAAAAAGATTAAAAAAGTAAACAATTTAAAAAAAATATATATAATGAATTTTAGAACGTGGTGTTATATGGGAAGAAACAATTATTTTATTACCAGATAATGTTCATTATGTATTTCTATCAGCTACAATTCCAAATGCAAAACAATTTGCTGAATGGATTTCATTTCTTCATAATCAAGTAAATTTTTAACTTCTTTCATTTATTTAGAATTGACCAAAAGTTTTAAACTCGAATCTTATCGAAGAGAGTAACCTATCGAGAAATAAAAAATCAAATATCCAATATTGTAGAGCTTTTTGAGGTGCGCCGAATGATATATAGTAAATCCTGTAAGGAATTACAGTCGATTTACTGATAGACGACTACACACCCAAGGATGATAGGTTATTGAATATTGTGATCCTTGGTATTAGTCGAAAATATTTGTAAAATATTTTTTCTCACATACGATCTTATAGAATTTTTGACGGACTACAACTTCATATACGTAGCATCTTCGGTCATCTTGTTAGTGTGAGTGTGTAGTTGTCTATCAGTAAATTGAATCTCGTTCCTTACAGGATTTACTATATACCATTCGATGCGCTTCAAAAAGCTCTAGAACATGGTATATTTCTGAATAGGTTATCTTATCCGACATATCTGATGATTATTCATTGCTATATTTTATGAGAGAACATCTGGAATTGGTGCCTACTGTTTGAACTTATATTTTGTTTATAAGTAGGACTCATAATGTAGATGAAAATCTGAAAATGGTTTTGTTTACCTTTAAGTTATGATCATTTTGCTGAATTTTCAGCATATTAACAAAAAAAAAACAAGGTGCAATCTGAAATTTTTTCCAATCATAGAATTCATGATATTAATTAGATCCTGAAAGTTTTAGCTCAAACGGATGAATTTTTCTTAAGAATACAAAATATCGAGAAAACGGGCTGTATTTTTTTTTTGCAAATGTGTTATCTCGGAAGAGAAGCGCATTCGTTTAAACTAAAGCATATTATGCTGAAAATTGTCTGTATCGAGCAGTATGAGTTAAAATTTCTTCAATAAATTCTCAATTTGTAAATGATTATTATAACATTTAGTACAAAATTTATTTTATAGCCTTGTCATGTTGTGTATACTGATGTTCGACCAGTTCCTCTTCATCATTATATATATCCAGCTGGTGCTGATGGTCTTCATTTAGTTGTTGATGAAACGGTATTTTATTGAAATTCTTTCTTCAATGTTCATATGTATGATTTGATAATTTTCTAGGGTAAATTTCGTGAAGATAATTTTAGTTCAGCTATGGCAACATTACGTGATGTTGGTGATGCAGCAAAAGGTGATAAACGTGGACGACGAGGTGGTTTAAAAAGTAAAAAAGAATTCTTTATTTAAAATTTTTTCTTATTTATATTTAATAGCTGAAACAAATGTATTTAAAATTGTTAAAATGATTATGGAACGAAATTTAGCACCAGTTATTGTTTTTAGTTTTAGTAAAAAAGATTGTGAAACATATGCATGTGCAATAGCAAAACTTGATTTTAATTCTGAAGATGAAAAACATCTTGTTGAAGAAGTATTTAATAATGCTATTGATCTTTTATCAGATGAAGATAAAAAATTACCACAAATAAATACTGTTTTACCATTACTTAAAAAAGGTGTTGGTATACATCATTCTGGTTTATTACCAATTATAAAAGAAACAATTGAAATACTTTTTGGTGAAGGTCTTATTAAAGCTTTATTTGCAACAGAAACATTTAGTATGGGTTTAAATATGCCTGCACGTACAGTACTTTTTACAGCTGCTAGAAAATTTGATGGAAAAGAATTACGTTGGGTAAATAAAGCAAATAGAAAGACAAAAAAAAAAAAACTAACGATTTATTATTTAAGAGATGGTTCATGAGCTATCCTTTTTAATAGAAAATTCGAGGTGTATGACATCGAGAGCTCAACCCTATACCACTAAA